AAATCAACAAATATATTGCCTTGAATTCTACTTTTGGGATTTAATACGGGAGGAAGGGGATAACGTCACTTGAAAATCTTTTTGATTTGAACAATAGGGACTCGGAGATTTCATGATATGAACTGCCGCACAAACACAGTTACGCCCGGTCTCTCTTACACAATATTCACATCCACAGAGTCACAGGCCAGAAAATTCACCAAATGTGAACATGGATGAATAGAGTTTCTCCTTCTTTCAGCTTTTGCTCTGGTTTCCAGGGAGATGTACTTTTTTTCTACTCAGTAACTGTTAAACACCGAGACCTGGACGCCGGAAATTAGCTATTCTCTGGATTCAGCTGCAAGAACCAATCAGAAAGTCGTACAGCACAGAAACAGACTCAGAGATAGTTGGAACTGCCGATGCTGGAGATTCTGTGATAACAAGGTGTAGAGCTGGAAGAAGGGTCCAGACCCGATATGTCAGCTTTCCTGCTCCTCTGATGCTACTTGGCCTGCTGTGTTCATCCAGCTCTACACCTTGTTATCACAGAAACAGAATCTTGGGTCCAACCTGTCCATGCTGAAAATAATCCCAAACTAAACTAATGTCGCCTGCCTTCTCCTGGCGCCTATCCCGCCAAACATGTCTGTTCTCCTACCTATCCAAATGTCTTTTAAAATTTTCTAGTTGTACCCTCACCCACCACTTCCTCAGGCAGTTTATTCCACACGGGAACCATCCTCTGTGCGAAAAAATTGCCCTTCATGTCTGTTTTAAATCTCTCTTCTGTCACCTTAAAATGTGCCCCCTACTCTTGAAATCTCCTATCCTTGGGAAAAGGCAATTATCATTAACTCTATGTGTACCTCATTATATTATAAACTTCAATCAGGTCGCCTCTCACCTCATACAGTGCAAAAAGTCCCAATGTGCAGCCTTTCTTTAAAATTCAAATCTTCCATACCCAGCAACATCTGAACCCTCTCTAGCTTAATATCCATCCTACAACTGGGCAACTAGAACTGGACACAGTATTCCAACAGAGGCCTCAACAATGCCCTGTACAACCTCAACATGACATCCCAACTCCTGTACTCAGAGGACTGAGCAATAAAGGCAAGGGCACCAAATACCTTTTTAATGACCCTGTCTATATGTTACGCAAACTTCAACGAATTTTGTACTTGCACCCTGTGGTCCATCTGTTCTACAATACTACCCAAGGCCCTACCATTAATTGTATAAGCCCTACCCTTTTTTGTTGTACCAAAATGCAATACCGTCACTTATCCAGATTGAACTCCATCTGCCATTTTTCAGCCTATTGACACATTTGATCGAGATCCCTTTGTAATCACAGAAAATCTTCTTCACTGCCTACTATGCCACCAATTCTGGTGTCATCTGCAAACTTACTAACCATGCCTTCTACATTCTTAGCTAAATCATTTCTATAAATGACAAACAAAAAAGGACCCAGAACCAGTCCCTGTGGTACACTGCTGGTCACAGGCCTCCAGACCAATAAGCAACCCTGCATCACCTCTCTCTGTCTCCTGTCTTTAAGCCAATTATGGATCCAATTTGAAAGCTCACCCTGAATCCCATCTGACCTTACTTTACCAATAGGTCTACCTGCAGGACCTTGTTGAAGGCTTTACTAAAATCCAAATAAACAATGGCTACTGCTCTGCCACTATCAATCTTTTTGGTAACTTCCTCAAAAAACTCAATCCAGTTTGTGATTCACGGTTTTCCTCACACAAAACCATGCTTACTATCTGTAATCAATTTTTGCCTCTCTAAATGAACATAAATCCTATTCTGTATAATCACCTCCAACAAGCTACCCATTACCTAAGTTGGACACACTGGTCTATAGTTGCCCGGTTTCTCCTTGCAACTTTTCTTTAACCAAGGTACAGCATTAGCCAGCCTCCAATCATCTGGAAACTTACCTGTAGTTATAGATG